CCGATACGCATTCTTTTGCCAATATCGGCATCCCGATCCGATCCACGTATCGGATCGGGACAAGCCTACACCGTGCCAGTCAATTCTTATCTAACAAGCAGAAACAATCCATTGGATAAACATGGAGCAACTCTGGTGAGAGGGATTCAGACAGATAATACAGAAAAACAACAAAACACACTCACTCTCCATTGTTTACTTTCCTGATCTCTGTTGCACTGATGACATCATCACTGCTAACCCAGTGAGATGAGGTCAACAGACCCACCAATGGAGGGACCGGGGCCACACTGCTGCCAGCGAGGGATTAGACCATCTTTTTTTGCCAGTGGGGACGGGGCCAAATGCCTGTTGTTAGCGGGTCCACCCATGTTTGAAAATCATGCTTATATAATCTTGTGATATTATTAAGAGAACTAGTCATGAACCAAATTTTTATTTATTTATCTATTTTTTTCCATTCTTGTTCAAAAGATGCAGTCGATTTCAGAAGCCTACCTATTACAGCTGTACTATAAATATTTAGTACTTTCATGCTTATTATTGTTTATTATTATAACCTTCATCTCCATGGCTTAGAACCTTATCTTTCTTTTACAGCCACCTTCAGTCTGCCAGTAGAACACACACCACAACACACCCATTTATTGCACATAGTAAAAAAACAGTTGAATGCAATTTAGCGCCTTTTATTTGGAATCTCTAAAGATCAGGTCCTAAATATTTGCAGCTAGTTTAGCAGTTATGAGCAACTATCTAAAAACAGAAAGAAATGAAATGAAATCATTCTGAGCTATGGAACCTAAGGAATGGATTGGTAAAACAAAAGTCCAGGTTTTCCCCAAAAATTAAATCTTCATGGAAAAAAGATATGTGCTTATTTATGAAAAAAGGTTCATAGCAAAGGCCAGACATGGTGAGATATAAGAGGAACTGATGTGTCTCTGTAGAAAGTTGTGGGTAACCAGGAAAACACAAGAGTCTGCAGACCTGCACTATCACGACACTTCGTTGTCAGAACCAGAAGTTTATTTGAAGCCTTTATAAGAAAAATCTAAATCAAATAAAGGCTAGTTTTCCTGGGTCTTTATAATAAGAAATATTTTTGTCTATTCATGCATTTATAAAAAGTATATATAACCTCTTTCCAGTTCAACTGGATTAGGTTGAAAAAACACAGGAAAATGTAAAAAAAAAACAAAATTAACTCGATTCTTTTATAAAGACATCTCTTATGTGTGTTTGCCATTATTATATTCTTTACTCTTTTAGTATTGTTTGTGCTGTTCTTCCACACATTTCCCAACACACTTTCAAATGTCTATTTATTTTATTTTATTGGAATAATTTTTATTGTTGAAACAGCAGATTTCACAGCATGATGCTGCGTTTAACTTTAGGCGAAGTGCCAGTGAGAGTCAAAATCTTTAAAGGTATTGTGGAGGATTTTCACAAATTTAAAATATGCACATAATAAACCCTGTACCCGCTCCCGACAGGGAACGACTATTAGACGCGTGTGAGAGCGTGCACGAGCCCATTTCTCCTCGTGCACGCTCTATTTAAAGGTTGCTGTTCTCATAGATCATACTCCTTGCAAAGCATTCTGGGATATATCTGCCTCTTCTGAGGCCTTTCTTTTCTTCTCATACACTTCATAGACACTTTTTCTCTTACGACCCTTGGTCATTTCCAAAGGCCTTACGTAAACATATCGCCAGAATGATTGACAGTTAGGAGGACCAGTTATTTAGGTGATCCAACGAAAGTTCGTCCTCTATACGTTTAAGTGGTGAAAAGTAGAGAAAAGGCAGATTTAAGTGAGCATTCACCTTGCAAAAAAATATGTCTTTATTTTCTAATAAAATCAGACAGCACATATGTGTTACACGCTATTCCAGAAGGATTCAAATAAAACCTCCAGAATAAACTACCAGTCCTGACAGTACAGGAGACCACATTGTGCAGGTTTGCAGCCAGACTCCCCTCTCAGAAAACAATGAGTGGAATTTTTAGACTTCTAAGTATTCTGTCAATGCAGTGTAGTTTTGACGCCCATTTCAGGAGTCCCTCTCCCTCTGAAACAGACTAAATGCTGAATCAGAATATTTTAACATTGTGCTTCTATTACAGATTTTAAAGGGAAGCCAATTATCCAATGTTTTGAGCTGATATTGGACAAATTTCCAATATCAATTTTGGATCAGAAAAGCCTCAATAACCATGTTATTTGGAGAAACATATCTTTCCACGTGTTGTTTTAGGGCTGAAACAGTTAATCAGATTAATTGATTATTTAAATAATCACCTAATTTAGTAATCAATTAATCATGAACTGGAGTATAAAGACTTTAAAACATGACAGATCGACCCACTTAGTGCAGTAATTATATCAACATTTAAAAAATATATATAAAAATTTTGCATTTAAGATAAAAACATAAATGTCAATCTGCTCTTACCAAAATCTTCTTTAAGGAACGTTTGGCTGTCCGATTATTGATTGATTTATTGAAAAGATGATTCAAAGATTTATTGATTTTGCGCTGATGCCATTTTTTGGCCCCGATGACCGATACCTGGCCGTGCAGTATCAGCCGATACCGATACCATCTGGTTGAAATTGGTGTGTGTATTTATAAAGAACTGCAGACTGCTTGGATGTAAAATAATTACCATCATGGCTTCATGTCAAGCTGCTGCCTACCTTTGTGAAACAGGAAAAAATCTAATACAAAGTGAATCCAGTAGAACTTTTTATTGCCTACCTGGAATGGATGACAATAGTTGAATAAACATTTGGCTTTCAGAATGGTATCGGTGCCCTATTAGTTGGTACTCGCCGATGGTATCACTATCGGTGCAAAACTATTAGTTGTTTTTTTTATTAGTGCCTTGTAGTTCATCGGTTTTCTGCTTTCATTTATTTCATTGGGATTGAAAACATCCGCCTGCATTGATGTTCTATATTTCATAATATTTTTATCTAAATAAGAGCAAAAGCATTGATTATATTCAGTCGGATCCATTCATTTCATTCAATCAAATAAAACATTCCAGGTCGACCCAGAACAGTCAGACCCGTTTATTTTACTCCAGAGAAATCCACCCCTCTTGCATTATTACCTCAGCTTCCTTACTTTACTTACTTTCAAGGAATCGTTTTTGGGTAAATCTTTTTTTCTTCTTCAATTTTTGCTGCAGGTAACAGCAAGCAGCTGTTTTACTAGAGAAAGACGCTGAAAAGTGGGAGAAAACGCCCACCATTGAGTGTTTAAGAGCGAATGTAAAACCTACAAGCAGCAACTTGCAAGGGAACGCCGTGTACTGTTCAGCTGCAGGAGAACCAGATTACTATCATGGGAGAAGACTGAGACTGAAAGACAGATAGAAGAATATAGAATATGATGTATAGACAGGGAGGATTTACCATTATGCAAAACTAGGCAACTGCCTGGGGCCCCAAGTTCCTGGGGGCCCCATAGAACTCTGTTTACATGTATGGTTAATACAACTATATTATGGTGTTGATAAAAATCCTTTGGCTAAAATGCCATCAGAACGCTGATAATATTGAGTGTGTCTCAGCCCCCCCTTCAGTGTCCACCATATTGGATCAGTCCATTTGCTGCACATGTTCAGAAAGGTCCAAACAGACAGCAGCAAACCATTTGAAAACAAACCATGCAAAGAGCAGTGTTGCCAACTTAGCGCTTTAGTCGCTATATTTAGCCACTTTTCAGACCCCTCTAGCACTTTGATTTCTAAAAAGCTCCTAGCGCCAAATCTAGAGACTTTTTTCTGCTACTGGAGACTTTGGAGACAACATCTAAAAGCAGCGAACTCTGCTCTCCAGAGCGAGTAGATTGGTAACCCCGCCTCCTGCTCTCCTCTATCTTGTCTGCTGTCATGATTCATGCAGCTATTATTTCATCCAAATGAAAAATGGAGAACAGATAAGCAGATCATGGCTTGTCTACAGTGAAAAGAAGGACTGGGTTATTTACTTTGGCCTTTTTGGAAACACAGGAAGGAGCAATCAGCTAAGTGAGCTTAGTGCTTGGAAAAAATCTTTCATTCCTTTAGAGACAGCATGAAAAGTCAGCTGAGTACAAAACATAGAGAGGAAAACAAGAAGAAAAGGGACAAGAAGAGAGGGACACAACCTAGAACAGATAATGGATGTCTATTCTATTAACATTTCTCTATCTGGAGAATGGGGCTGTTTGATGTGTTGTCTTCTCCATTCAGAGGGCCCCCTGTCTGTCTTTGCCTAGGGCCCCAAATTTCCTAAATACACCCCTGTGCATAGACTGCGATGTATATTTTTATCGTCCACCAGGCTGGAATAAGCTCCTCAGCTAAAAAAGCCAAAGTTACAAATAAAGACCAAATAAAATCATATAGTGCTTCATTTTTGTTGCTATTAACCTTTTATTTTAAAGTACAGAGAATATTAAAAATGTTTCAGATCCAGATGGGCTTCATACACCTTTACAGATTATAACCGCCTGCAGAAAAAAGATGAAAATATCTGCAACACTTCCGTCACATTTTGGGCTTTATTACTTCGCTGCAAACAAATGAACTCTATATAAGTAATTTTTTCCTTAAATAAGTGCATTTGTTCTTGAACCGATGAGGTAAGTGAGACACTTTGCCAATGGAACAAGACATTTCAAATAAGAAAGAATAACTGCATTGTCTTATTTCAAGTGAAAATGATCGAATTATCTTATTTGAAAAGTTAAAATAACTCTATTGGCAGATCATCTTATTTACCTACTCAAATTAAGAGTAAATACACTTAATTTAAGACATTTTGAATTAATTCTAGATAGTTTTTGCAGTGTCTTGTTCTGTCTTTTAACATCATCCAAGTTTGTTGTTCCAACATTTTTAAGGCGTCAAACTAAATAGAAAGGTTGGATGTCAGGAGCTTCTCTGCAGCTTAGGAATCTGAAAACTGACAGGATGATAAAAATTCCCCATGAAAAATTAAAAAAACCAAAACAATCTTCTTCCCACTTCCGTGTTCACCAGTTTAACAGAGATTCCTGTTTCTCTTTCAGCACCCGAGGTGATAAACAACGAGCCTCTGAGCACAGCGGCAGACATGTGGTGAGAAACGTCCTCCTGCTCAGAGCAGAACATCTCCTTATGGAAAACTGGAACTTTCTAACATGTGGAAATGTTTAGACATATTACTATTATCATTATTATTGTTCCTCTTGTGAAGTCAGTGAAGTTTCCTGTTTAAAAAGCATCTCCAAACCGTTGACCATCCCCTGTGTTTCTGTCTCTTCAGGAGCATTGGAGTTATTACCTATATACTGTGAGTCTTTGTATTGGGTGACTTGTAAGTACCTGCAGGCACTGAATGCTGCACACTGTTGCATGTAATCTGTTGGGCTTTTTATATGGAGGTGGGGGCGGTGGTGGGGTGGGGTTGTGGGGTCTCTAATGGTTATTCATTACAGAAAATGATGACTGGCTGAGAGTTTCTATAAAGCATCATCTACTCTTCCAGAACAACAGTAATGAAGCTAATTGGATAATTACTGCAATTACTTCAATTCAGTTTATTTCTATTTCGCCAATTAACAACACGTCATCTCAAGGCACTTTCCAGTTAAAC